ATCTGGAAAGCGTCAAAACAGCGCGGTCTGCTGCCATCCAGAGAGGCATATGTGGCCGTAGTGACCTTCTTCTGACTGCGGCACAAGAACGCGTCCGGTCCGTCAACGTTTTGCCAGAACCAAAGGCACGTCTTCCGCTACCATATAACGCAGCTATGTGACATCTGCTCAACAGAGGCGGTCCACACCTCCGGCGGTAATTATATATATATAATTATATAACACGTGCGCATATTATACTATAAATTACTGCAAATATTATATATAATTGTATATAGAGTGGGGATCTTGCCGAATTCATCGACCACAAACTGCCATATCTCACACGACTGCATTCCATACTTCAGCGAAGCCTTGCATGTGACCAAGTCATCTCCGGTTAACCAGCAGTCAACTGGAAGCCAATCTCACAAAAACTTAGACGATTTGGGGCTGTTTGAGAAAAAAAGAGGTGATTGAGGTGGTTCCTTCGCCTAAATAGACAGAATGTCCTGGACGGCCAATGCTTTGTGCACGGATTTTTGTTAAAAATACGCTCGGCTTACTGGCTTCGTCGGATTTCGCGAATTTTTGTTGGTCGCGTCGGCCGCCTTCCATTCGTGACACAAAACAGCGGTAATGCTTTGACTATCTCATGAATGCACAAGTGCCAAATAGTTATTCTTCAGGTATTGATTAAGGGGCTTCCCAAATTTTTAAAGGATAAAACGACAGCGCCCCGAATTTTTCAACAAAACGAGTGTGGAAACTCTAAACAAGCCAAAATGCCCACAAGCAGCACAATGCTCTTATCTGCAAAACCTTTGCGACTAGAGTAAAGCACAAGAAGGAAGGCAAACTGCATGGAAAAAATTAATTTGGTTAGGAGCACAAATCAAAAGACAGGGAGAGGTTCATATCTAATGGGAGGTTAAGCAGATTGTAATGGACGCCTCCCGGAGGCGGCTGGGGCCGGATGAAGGCTACGAATGTAGCTGCAGGTAAGGAAACGAGGTTCCATGTAGTAGTTAATCAACGCCATGGTCTCCCTGGAATACTTAGGAAGCCATGATAGAACACTCTGCTGGTTACTAACAAAATTGCACGATTTCCGCCAATGATAAGCTCGGCTTGCGCAATTTTTACTGGTGATAGCAGCTGTTGAGCAAAAATTGTTTACAGGAATGGCACCGCATGTTTTGCATCCACAAGGCCCACGCAGATTCTAGGATGCTCAGGAGATCAGCTTAAAACTGAGAGTTACGTCCATTGCAGGTGAGTAAAATTTTTCCGCAATTCGGGATATTTCATTGCATTAGGCAACGTATTCACAGTCGGTGGCGTTTATTGACCTTGAGGATTCGTGTGCCTAAACGAATCACCAGCGTAGATAACAAAGGTAACTATACCTTTCACATAGACATCCTACACTATGCATTGACATCCCTGAAAATGTCGCAACATTGGAAAAATCAATTCCATCATGCGAGTACTGAGCGGTCTCGGAGACACGAACCATTAGCCACACAATCCCCTTATCTGCAAAACCTTTGCGACTAGAGTAAAACCTTTTGCGCCAAAATGTTGCATATTGTTGCATATGTATTCAAACCAAAAATCACCATCATCTGCGCTCCTTTTTGTGGCTCACAAAATATCGTTGTCCACTGAAGCGACCATGCCCCCGGCGGAATTGTCTGGTGGAATGAATTTCCAGTATCGCTAAGACCCCGGGATGCCCGAATAGGCTCAAAACTTTTGACTGGTATCCTGAACTCAGTTGCTCGATTTCTTCAGTCCATCAGCGCACGTCATACCTTTCAAAATTTCCATTCTGTTGTGCAAATACTGATCGCACAAATGCGGTGTAGAAAGTTCAAAGTGGAATGTGCGCCAAATTTCCGAAACGAGATTGACTGAAGTAAATCGCAAAATGACGGCAAAAGAAGACTATGCTTGTTCCGTGAATATATCAACCCAAAAACATTTCGGAGTAAAAGATCTTCTTCCATCTTCAAATGCGTTGCAGAAAACAGCATTTTGCTTCCAAGTTTTTAAGACCTGGATATATAACCACCTAAATGATGGGTTTCAGTTATATCGGACACCAGCACACTTTTAAAAATTTCTTTGATTTTACTGACTTGTGAAAGTTGCATCAGGAATGACAGTCAATCGTACTTTGAGCCGCAAAGCGGATGGGCAGCACCGTGCAGACTACTGCAAGTGTCAGAGGTGAAAAAGCCAGATGTGCTAAACCCGTTTTCAACGGAGTCTTCACCTCCACGCCCAGTCTAATGTGCGCACCCCAGATCCTTACCTTAAAGCGGAAGTTTCAGATTTCGAAGTCACAAATTGGTCATAATGGAACAGACTTCATTGTTACGCTGGGCACCAAAGAGCACTTAACATTTTCCCTCTCCCAAAACGTTTTACCCTCACACCGTTATCAAAAAACTTGTTCAAAGGACGTTTGCTGGTTTTACTAACAAAATCGTTGGAACGGATGTCGGTTGAGATAAACTTTCACAGCTCAGCGATCATACCACCGACCATCCAAAGTTTAGTAATTCTTCGGATGCTTCGGCGTACTTTCTTCTGTATTACTGGACTGTTCTTCCAGATAGGGCGTGTAGCTCACCTTATATGCCTTTTCGCACATACAAACCAAGTTGTGCAGTCAGGCGCAAGGCTATCATTAATAATGATAAGCTTTCCAAAGGGTTGCTGGCTTCAATTTCGCGTATTACGAAATTCACTCGGAGATAATAGATCTGGTTCACTGTGGCCTCCAAATTGACCCGTGCACATTGTCTTAACAACTTCTAACCGAAGGGCTTCTCACATTTGGCCTCATTGACGCAATCAGAGGCATGGTAAGCTCTCAGATTTGAGCGTGAAATTTGCTTGGACAGCTAGCTCTTTAATTTAAGACACTTAATGCATATAATAGTGATCCTGCGCCGCATTCGATTCCGATACAAATAATATTTAGACGTTTTACGTTGAAAATGTGCTGGACAACTTACTGCTTAGAGAGTTGAGCTTCACCTGTTTTTGTTGGCAACTCGCGGGTGAGCGAAATCTGCTGAACGACAGGAAAGAAACTGAACCATGTAATTTGAAGAAAGTTCTTGCTTTAGTTTACCAAGCTATGAGCCTGTGAATAACAACCAAAAGGAAACTGGGCTGAGATTACTTTAAAGAACAGATAGCAAAAAAAGCTTCTTCATTTAGGGAACAGGGCCACATGACCACCTAGTTGAAGCTGGCAGATTCTCACAAGGCTAAGCCCAACGTATTGCTTTATTTCATAATGGCCTAACGCAAAAAGTTACACAAATAAAACCCTCTTAGCTAGCAAAACACCACCAGCGTGGAAATCATTTTTTACCCCAACCAGTGCTTCTAGCTTAGTATTGGCATCCGTTTACATATATGGTTTTCTGCCATGTATATTACTTCATGTTTTGACCTTCAGCAGTAACTACTCCGTACGGTCGTTATCCAAAATGCCTGGTCCCCGATTTACATCCACGCGGATCCCAAATTACCAGTGTTTTTATGTAGAATTTGGTCTTTTCGTGTTGATCCCCTTGGCAACTCCAAGATCCAGCTGTTAGCGGAATTGCGCATCCCCTGTTCAGTAGTTTCAACCGTAAAAAGCGTGTCCAGAAATCAAAGTATGTCAATGCGATAATAGTATGATAGTGCCACACCTAGTCTGCTGAAACATCAATTATAGTTTCAACCGTAAAAAGCGTGTCCAGAAATCAAAGTATGTCAATGCGATAATAGTATGATAGTGCCACACCTAGTCTGCTGAAACATCAATTATTCTCTCCACATTGTTGTACTTCCCCCCCCAGAACCCCTAGTCCCGACAGATATGTTCCACCTCATCATCTCTACCTACGCTTTTCGTAACCCTGGTGACTACATCAAATATGTTAGGCCACCCAGCCGCAGCAAGGCCTTCCGATTTTAGTTCAAACTAACAGGATGCATCACTAAACTACTTCTGTTTCTGCAGATTCATGGTGTTTCTTACATCACTGCGTCGTTTCTTGCAACGCAGTCAGTTTCGGCCAAACAGTTCTTCTAGGTCCATCCCTGTTTCATCTTCCCCCCTGGAGATTTCACGAGCCTTTTCGTTCACGTTGTCTTCTCAGGATTGGGATGACTTCTCCCTCTCGAAAAATACACACCTCGTCTGTGACATCTTTCACCAAGACCTTTTGGCTGCTGTTCACCTTGTTCCTTCTGTAAAACGTTTTCGTTCCAGTATCTCCGACCGAGATAAATTACTGAAATCCCTTGATGCTAAAAAACGCCGAGCAAGCAGAGAATATTGGAAATCTCAGGATTGCTCATTACTAATTATTATCAATAATCTCTCTGCTGACTCGGAATCCTGGTGGGTATCCCTCGAATGTCGAGAGAAAAGCGCCATCCTTATAAACCCTTCCAATTTCAGGTCACTTGGCCGGTTGTTCCGTACACGTTGTATCCCAATCAGCCACACATTTGCCAGTTTGTGCCTGACAGTCAATGCCCCAACCACTGATCCTGTCTGAACGCTTATTTCGCCAGCTGTTACATGCCCATTCCTTCCAACTCCAAACCCCTTCCCACTGCTGCCTGTCTCCAGAATCTTAATCATCAAGGTAACCACCCGACTCTCAGTAACAACCAACTCACCGGCTGATGGTTCTTCCCTTCTTCTGAAGATTAAGGACTCCGTTGTGCCAGGGGCCGACGGCCTTTCCCTCCCCCGTGTCTTAAGACAAGGCGATCAGGATATTGGAATCCTTGTAATAAATCGTTTCGCCCACTCTACCAACCATGGAGTCGTCCCCTCCCAGTCAAAGAAATCTATAATCCACTCGCATTTCAAAACTGGTTCTAGGCAAACGCCTCCCAACTACAGTAAAATCCAACACACCTCATTCACAAAGAAATCTTCAAACATCTGGTCAAAGGTCCATTATCCAAGTTCCTCCTGGCTTCTAGTTCCATAAATGACCGGCAGTATTTGTTCCTGTCTCAAAGATCCGTTCATTGCTGCCACCTCCACCTCTTTGGGTGCATTACAGCAGATCACGACGCTGGATACTCCATTGTTACAGTTCACTTGGACATTCAAAAGCCCTTGACCAGGTCCCTACTGCCTCCCTGCTACACAATCTTAATACCGTTGGCATCAATGGGAACTTATGTCAGTGGTTCGCCTCCTACTTAGCAGACAGGATGCAACTAACGTAAATCGGGGACATACGATCATCCCCACCATCGATCAACAGCGGAGTCATCCAAGGAAGCGTGCTAGGCTCCATTTTTTCTTGCTGTACATCAAGGTCGTCTTCGGCACCATATCCCATGGTGAGGTTCTCCTCTTCGCGGACGACATAACAACCTCGAACGCCTCACTTCTGCACAAGCCCTTGCCTTTTGATGGATTAGGCGAGACTTAGATTCACTGACTCGCTGTTCAAACGACTATGGCGTAGGCTTTTCCTCCACGAAATCCTGCATAACTTCCCGCCGATGCTCTCTCCCGGCTGACGCTTCCACAATCAATGGAAATCCTTTCATTCATTCCACAGGGATCGAAGATCTCCACCTCAGACATTCCTGTACTTTTAGCCTTTCTCACCAGGTGCAGCTCCAGGTTGCCAGAGCATGCAGGCTCAGTTTTTGCAATACTGCGCTCCTTCCACCTTATAGACAAAATGGTTATAATAATAATAATAATGTTTATTCCCAACTTGTGGGTGGCATACCGTCTGGCATGATCATAGTTCTACAGTCAGAATGGAGCATGACTGAGGGATTTGTGGGGGT